TTTGAGGCTTGCTGGTTGTCTTCATGGCGATGTTCAGCCTCTATAAAAGTGTCAGGGTGTGTTGTCTTTTAAGTGCCTAAAGAGGTTGCTAGTGTTGCTGCTATGTGGCACCACTTTATTACAGACGGAGCACATGGCATTACCTTTGGTCGTGGATGAAAAATAGCATCACACTATGCTTCGGCGTAGTGGTGCAGTGGGTAGAGCAATTGTCTCCCAACCAGAAGGTTGGAGGATTGAATCTTGGTGCCTGCAGTCCACATGTCGAAGTGTTTTCAATGTAATACATGCCAGATTAGTTTTAATTTTTATTTTAAATACTGTCCCAACTTTTTCTGATTTGGGGTTGTAGCATAAATGACAACATAATGCAAGTGCAACACCTTTGTGCATGTCCACAAAGTGATATTTATATTAAATGCTTTAAGCATGTAAACACATATCTTATGCGATCAGTGTCCTTGTCAAGATCTCATTTGGAATTCAAGACCAGAACCTCAGCGGATTCGAATCCCCGGTAAATGTCAAAGGTAGAAATTTGAAAAAAATACAAAAAATAAACAGTATAGCTCTGAAACAAAGTTCAATCAGCTGGTGAAACAAATCTATATTATGCAAAGAGGAAAATATGGAGTCAAAATGGGAATGGGCCATGATCAACAGCGCCACCTCATCTGTCAAACATGGCAGTGCCTCTGTTACCATCTGGGCCTGTATGGCTGTGCTAGTGGAAAAGGCACACTGTGATTTATGGATGATTCCACTGCTGATGGAAGCAACAGGACGAATGCATAAGTATACACAAGCTTTCTGTGTGCTCAGATTCAGACAAATGCAAAACGCCCACTGGACCACATTTCATCATTTAGCAGGATAAAGATCCTAAGCATGTGGTCAATACAACCAAAGAGTTTTTCCAGGTAAGGAGGTGGAGTATCGTTGACTGGCTGAGCTAGTCACCGGATCTCAGTATAATTGAGTTTCATTGTCTAATGACCAGACTCAAGGCAGTGGAGGCCTAGGAGAGCATTACCAAGGAAGATACAAAGCTTCTGCTAATGTTTATGGGTCAAAGACTTCAGGCAGACATTAACTACAAAATATTTGGTACTAGTTACTTTTCAACCTGTACATTTTGGACACTATGTGTTTTAGGGACTACTGCCCCTGCACAGTTCTTTCTATACTGATGTACTCTAAACTTACTTAAATTTGAGACTTGGCACTTTAATGTAGTATCCCTTATTTTATTCCAAATTGAATGCACTGAAGCACAAAGTGTGAAGAAAGAAATACGTTAAAAAGAGTCTAGACTGGAATTTTTTTTTTTTACCCCAGTCACTATGCAAACCCATGCTCATTGGAATTTGATTTCAAGCTATCCTCCACAACATGAAAAACAATACAAATGGTAGGGGGTTGGAAGGTCTGAATAATGTGACTCCAAGATGTCATTTCTAGGCACCTGCATCATTTGCCTCCTTCCCTTGCAAAATGTTTTATTCTACTGTTATGTCTCATTACACAAGAACAGCACTACCAGCTGAGTGAGGCAGATGATCTATTGTAGAGAACGACAACTCCTCAAGTGGCTAGAATCCATCTGAGTGCCTGTGTTACAGCTGAACCAGGACAATCCAACTCAATGAGGAGACCAGTTCCGGAGTGAGAAACATGGTGTATGGGAAGTGGTTTGCTAAACATAATGTGGCAAATAGCTACCCTGCTGCTATTCCCCAAGGGAAGTTCAAAATGTATGGCCCAAGGAGCTGAATTTAATATGATAGAACACACCCCTAGAGCAGATCATATAACTTGCTCCCTAACATGTCGCTGTCACTCCCTTGGAGTGAGTGACAGCAGCACACACACTGACTTTAATTGCTGTCAGTGCCTATGCTGTAATGTCAACATGTGCCTGGTATTTTCTATTTATCATGACCTGTATTTATGTTATTTTGTGCACTAATTATTGTGTGTGGATTAGTGTCAGATCAGTGATTCTCAAGGACAGGCTGGTCATTGTTGAACTGTGTGCACTGCTGCCACTAATTCCAGTAGCCTACTGTATGTCACAACGAGAAAATACAGTATGTTGTAATTACAAAAAAATATCACTTTAAAGTGAAAGGATCAAAATTTTTTCTTACGGTGGCAGCAATATGCTGCTGTAAGTGGTTCTTGTGCCTACTATAGAATATAATCCTGCAGATGTCACTGTCAATGTAATCAGTTTACTGGCCATGAATTTAAGAAAAACCTGGATTCCAGATTCAACATGGCACCCAGTCATTTGAATGAAAGTTACTCATTTGGTGCATTTGCCATAAAAAACAACTCTTTTTTTTTCCAGGTTTGCTTCCACACTGTGAGGCTCATTAGTGTGTCCCCCCTGCCCACGTCCTCCTGCTCAGCTCACACATCATACTGGGATGACATCACAAAAATAAAACTCTGTTTTCTGGGCTTTGAGAAAGTTTTACAAATATAAAACCTACATGGATTAAAAATTCATAATACAAAGAGTGATAACTGGCCTGATTTATAGTTTGAGGTGTCCTGTCAATAGTTTTTTCTTTTATCATTGTAGTCTATTGAGAAAATGCTTTTTGGGCCACATGAGGATTTTTCATTGCAGCACCATGAGTGGCCACTGGGGAAAATTAGCTAAAAAGCTGAGTGGTAGTGCCAAATTTCAATAATACATTCACGTTACCAGCACTGAAATGCAAATAAGGAAGATGGTTTACCCTGTAGCCCCTGCAGCTAAAGGCTACTAATGGAAACAAGGAAGCGGGAGAGAGGGAGAGCGAGTATGGAGACAGCTGGTGGTATGTGTCCAGTTGCTCTGTGTTGGCTTTGGTGATGGGTAATAAATGCCAGTGAACACCAGATGATATAGGGACAGCAGAGATCTATCACCGCAACCTACAGCCATGTTCACCATAGGATGCTGCTGTTATTCAACATTTTCCAAACATTTTTCTCAGCATTCTCTGAAGCTGTCCAGTGTAACACAATGCAGCAGTTCTAAATGTTTAAAAGCCCCTCAAAGATGTCCTCACTCTAGAGGCCTTGTACTATCTCTGCTTGTGAACACATTTCTTCCTCACAAGTGTAAAAATACAAGGCACAATTATTCTCACATATACAATCACATACCACTGGAGGAAAATATAATAGAAAATATAACATAGCTCAAGTAAAACATATTACATTTGTTCAACCAACATTTTAGCGAACTCTACAACATTAATGTTAACCACTGGTAAATTTGTTGCACTGAATTGTGCCATTATTCGATTGAAGCATTTGTAGTCATCTTGCTTTTACTGCCTAGATCAGAATCACAATCTGCTTTATTGGCCAGGTGTCGGGCACACAAGGAATTTGACTCTGGTACATCGGCTCTCAGATGTAATCCTTACTGCTAAAGCAACATCATGCTTGGTTCACCAATGACCATACAGAAAAAAATCATCTTCTGGTTTGCTAACATACTAAAGAAAAGAGTTGCCATCATATAAAATGTAGTCGGCTGTGTTCATGATGGACTGACTGATTGATGGGGTGATCCATTGTCTAATTAACACCCATTACAAATACAGTATGTCCACTGTGGGCCATCATGGCAGTCAAAGCGAGGTCCTAGGGAGTCTCCCGCAAGGATGAGTGTCATAAACAGCTGTGTAACAGTCTGGTGCTGACAGGACTTTGAAACATCACTTACAGGATGACCTCCCACCCTCCAAGAACTTGGTAAGGGACAAACGAAATCATACTAGAGCTGTCACCTCTGAGTGATGTGAAAGGGTTTTGGATTCTGAAGTTGCAAAAATGTACACATTCCCCTGGGCTAAAAGATGATTCTGGTCTTCATATCACTTGTCTTATGATTGAGACTTTTTTCCTTCCAATGCTAGCTGTGCCATCATGTGTCCCTACATCTCCACTAAAGTCAGTAATGGTCTTCTGTCTTCTATTTACAAAATCTATGCATTAGGTTAGTGGTAAAAAGTACAATACAAAGCTCCTCTACAGTACATAGATATTCATACATGTGTGGTGTTGAAACTGATTGGGACTGCAGACTAAAGTCCTGCTCACACCTTTGTCACTCTTTCTCTCCTTTCCTCTTCCTCATGCATTTGTTATACAGAAAGTGGCAGCCTTAATTCTTTAAAGACTGTTGTATTTTTTTTTATTTTTAGAAGCTGAACAACAGGAATAACAAAATATTTATCTAACTGCAGTAAGTGGTCGTGATTGTATCTGACATTTGGCTCCACCAGAGGCTGACAGTCGGTTCAGATTAGTGTACTGTGAGCAAATATCCAATATAATGGCTTAGCAGCTACCCCCATGAGTATGTCTGTTCTTGGCATAAATGTGGCTTTTAAACCTAGCATTCTGTTAACAACAGACAATGTTAAGATGAACAACTTTCTGATGCTATCAAGAATTTTATACATAGGATATATATTAAAGACAGTAATTTCTGAATACTGTCATTTTAAAATAACAGTTTGTCCATGATAATAAACTCTGTGGCACTGCACACTTTAAATATAGTTACAGATGTATTTTTCTCCTCTTTCACTGCCTTTAAAGTTGATTAAATATGAAACACCTGTTTTTGTATTTCTTACAGCTTCAGAGGGCTAAATGATTTTGTTCACCACTGTCCCCAGCCATTTACCCCATAGATAATTAACAAAAACTAATTCTATATGCATGTTTGCTGGTTCCAGATGTGTATGTAATAATAACAACAACATATTTTTCTTGGTCCCTGAGTGGGTTACAAATAGGCTGATCAACAGGAACCCATATAGATGACAAGGCTGATGGTAGAGGGCAGGCAAGACAAAGATGTTTATGTGTGCTGATGAAAAGCTGATACCAAGTGTTGTGGCCAACTGGGAGCAATGGATATTTGAAGGACAGGTTTGCCAGGATTTGTCAATCTGTCTGAGGAGGGCTGACAATGTTCAACTCACCTGACATATGTGTAGAGTCTTTGGGAAAGCTCAGGTCATCCTCAGCTACCCAGGAGAAGCTCCAGTACCCTCTAGGAATCCCTGCAGCAGTTCTACCAGTCAATGGTTCACCTGCAAAAACAGCAAAACCACCTCTTACATTCTGAGCACGTCAGAAAGACTTAAGAGAAGATAAGGAAAAACTAAAATCAAAATGTTTAGCCATTTCGCCTGATGCGGGCTGGGATTGGCTCCAGCCCCCTGTGACCCCGTTCGGGACTAAGCGGTATAGAAAATGAAATGAGATGAGATGTTTAGCCATTCAGATTGATATTTTCTCCTTGCTCTGTTTGCTTGAACTGGCTTGTAGCCACTGATTTGACATCCATGCTGAGGTCCCTCCCATGTATTTGGTTGTCCAACTCACTCATGGTTCCGCTGTCTGTAAATGCTGTGTTATATTATAGTTTGAATAAAGTCATTATAATGCAAGACCCTTCCCACAGAAAGCTTTACTGTCTAACAAAAACCCCTAAAGAACTTGGCACAACTTTGATCTTAATGGAGAGTGACAAGGTGACAGTCCAGCTATAATACTGTAATACAGTTTTGTATTTCACCATATTTAAGTCAGTGAAGCATCTACAGCATTGGTATTGCAGATTAATATCTATAACACTTCAATAGTGACACAGTGCCCTTGAGACATAGTCCAAAGGGCCATATGAAATGGATTTGGATATCAGGAGGCTGCATAATTACCAGAGAACAGATTGGTCACATTTTTTTTACTCTATTTTCACAATGTAAATTGGATGCTACAACTTCCTCTTAGTCGGCATTCAAACTGATCCAGTAAAAATGCAACTGTGTTTTGGTTAGCCATGCTGCTAACATAGCCTACTCTACCTCACCACCGATTCTACAACCAGTGTGTTGGCATTGATAAATAAAAACACAGTTGAACATCCAGTACTAATGAAAATGCATGGCGTGCCATTATGGTGCATTAACTGTGGCCCAAATTCGACAGTGAATAGCAGTGAATACTCATGCTAACAAGGTAAAAAAAATATCTACTTCCCGCCACCGATTCTACAACCAGTGTGTTGGCATTGATAAATAAAAACACAGTTGAACATCCAGTACTAATGAAAATGCATGGCGTGCCATTATGGTGCATTAACTGTGGCCCAAATTCGACAGTGAATAGCAGTGAATACTCATGCTAACAAGGTAAAAAAAATATCTACTTCCCGTGGGTGTCCACGTCCCAATCGTTCCCTGTACATGATTAGTCAGTGCAGCGCCTTTGCCGGATGATGTCACTGCCTGGTGCGGTCAAAGCTGAACCAGATCCAACTTTTTCACCACACAGGGTTGTGTTGTTTTGCCAGAACTCCCTGAGGTGTTGGTGCTGGCTGCAATGAACGTAATCCCCCATAGAAATGAACTGCAAGGGCTGCGTTTTTTCACACCTTTGAAACTGAGTCTGAACATGGCCTTACACTTATTGTATCTCAGCCTCCCCACACAGCCATCACACACACACATGCACACACTATCACTCTCACTTTATCCTTAGTCCATGGATAATTAGTACACAGCCACAGACCAATACACTGCTGCCTGGGAAGGAGACTCGTGCATAAATTCTGCAGTCTTTATAAATGAGCCTTAAAGAGCAACTGACTGTAAATACTGCCTTTCATAGCACTGAGCAGATTTAAGTTTCAACCAAAGAAGAGACATACTATTCAAGGTTTATTCTTCCTCAGCATGACTTCCAACAGCTAGATGCCTCCAGGTGAGAAGAAGAATATAAGTAAGTTAAGTAGAGATCTTGTTTGAAATAAAATCCATGATTACCATTTACAAAAGGATAGATGTCTGATTTTGGTTTTAAACAGGCATGTCATGTCAACAGGCTCTAAAAATAACAATGACAGCTTGAGTCTTGTAAGTGTTACTGGATAAGCTAAGAACAAAGTAACATGTTCACAGGATGAAAGAAGGGTCAAGTACATTTTAATTTGACTGTGCTTCTTGGGAAAACCGAGCTCCTTGAAATCAGACAAAATACCCTTGAAAAACAAGTCTGTCCTCATCAGGAGTTGTGTGAATGGAGATGTTGGCCTGAGCCTTTTGCCTTTCAAAGGTTTGACATCTCTGCAAGCTGGTGGCGCCTCTCTTTCCCCCACTGATGGTCATGAGGGAAGAGCTGGCTGTGCCAATGCAGAAAGCCAGGTCTGAGGTCAACAGCTGTTGCTACAGGGGAAACCGACTGACTGGCAGGATACTGCATGTGCTGGCAGGATGCTGCTGGAGCTGACTAGCTATTTGGCTGCATGGTAATTGTAGCTGCTGGCTGGCTGAAGAGCTTTCAGACAAACTGATCAGCCACTGGGGGAGCTGACTCGCTGGCTGACTTACCAGCTGTTGTGAAAGGTGGCTAGCTTTCCAGCTGACTGACAAGAAGGGGTGGACCTGTTGGCTGGCTGAGTGGTTTTTCTATTTGTCTATGCCAGTGAAAGTCCTTGCTGTAATTGTGCATTTCAAAATGCATTTATTCAAATGTTTTTGGGAACCCTTTCACACACAAAAGTATGTGTATGAGAGAAACATATACTCCTGTGCACACGGTCAATATTGCATAATTCACCACTACAGGGGAGACTGAACTCAGCTCAATAAACAGTCTAATTCTGTTCCACCCACTCTGAAATCCTTCAGTTGTCTAGTGGATTAATCAACAAGGCTTGACTCTACTTGTCACTTGAACATGGCTATGCATGACTATACATCTCTCTCAGTCTTGCACATCCCCCTGTCTCTTTTTGCTTCTCAATCACTCAAATGTCCTAATCCACATCTTTAGCTTTTTAGTGAGACTGAAATAGTTAGCTTCAAAGGCCTGCAAAATCCTTAAAAACATGGGTCACTACAACACAAAGGGGAGAAATAGAACAGCTCACAAGGGAGGAGTGGAACTAACGAAGAAGGGACAGTACTATACATGCTGTATGTGGTGCTTTTGGAAACAGACACCACTATCAGATATCAGGTCTGATACTGCCCTCTAGTACTCGTAGTCAGAAAAGGTGTCTGATACAAATGTGCCAATACCACTTTATGGCAACATTATTTTAACTTCATGTTGGTTGAGCAGGTAGTTAGGTGGAGGAGGAGAAACTTTAGCAAACTGGAGATATTTCCAGATAAGTGACAAAAGTAAAGCCAACTGTAACCTCTGCATGCCACACACACAGCAGAGTACAGAAGAGATTGAATTATACTTGAGACTACAATACTCAATACATCCAACAAAATCTGTCAGTAATGGAAAGTCTGAGTAACATATTAAACACCTATTGAACAAGCTGTTGACCTCAACTGGGGACATCGTCGGACGGTGGAAGGAATACTTCGAGGATCTCCTCAACCCCAGCGCCATGTCCTTCGATGAGGAAGCAGAGGCCAGGGGCTTGGAGGTGGACTTGTCCATCACCCAAGCTAAAGTCACCGAGGTAGTTAAGAAGCTTTTCGGTGGCAAGGCACCGGGGGTGGATGAGATCCGGCCCGAGTACTTTAAGTCTCTGGATGTTGTGGGGCTGTCTTGGTTGACACGAAATGAGCTTCCTCCACAAGGTGGCCGGGCGCACCCTTAGAGATAGGGTGAGGAGCTCGGTCACCCGGGAGGAGCTCAGAGTAGAACCGCTGCTCCTCCACATCGAGAGGAGCCAGCTGAGGTGGCTCAGGCATCTGTTTTGGATGCCTCCTGGGCGCCTTCCTAGGGAGGTGTTCCGGGCATGTCCCACCGGGGGGAGGCCCCGGGGAAGAGCCAGGACACGCTGGAGGGACTATGTCTCTCGGCTGGCCTGGGACCGCCTCGCCAGTTCCCCCGAAGTGTCTGGAGAGAGGGAAGTCTGGGCATCTTTGCTTAGACTGCTGCCCCCGCGACCTGGTTCTGGATAAGCGGAGGAAAATGGATGGATGAACAAGCAGAACACAATTTTAAATATGCCATCCTCAATCTCCCAGTGGTCAACTCAAGTGGTGTCCTGTTCAACCATTAACCTACACAGTGCTCATTATGCTAATTGTAGTGAATTGACAACAAATGGAAATTTTAGATATTTCACAGCTGAAAACAAGTTGTGGTAAAATTTTTGTGGTAAAAAAAAAAAGAAAAGCCAAAACAAAACAAGCAAGTTCTGTCTGTGCGTCCCTCATTTTGGATTTGTAGCTCAGCTAGAGTATACCTGGCGACTGGTGGGTCCTCACTCAACAATGACATTTGGAAATGCAATGAATTACAACTGGAGCATCAAATGATTACAGCTAATCAAAAGGGAAATGAGGACGCCACCCTTTTACTGTTGGATTATCATACTCCTTGGCCTTCTGCATCACACTTGTCCACTATTTTTGGCCATTAATTAAAGATTTACCTTGGGATACATACATTACTGTCTGAATAAATTGATTACCTGTCCGGCTCAGTAGTGCGCCAATAAATGCTCGTCAGCCTGCCAGCACCACACCAGGCAGCTGAGGCCTGGATTGGCTGCTTTCTCTCTCTGCTACAAAAGGCTGCATTGATTTCCATCAGAGAAGTCCTCCTGTCCACTAAGTACTCTGAGTTTCATTAACACCTTCACAGAATTCTACACACGTTGCTCTCCATCTCTAAAGAAACTGTACACAATTATTTGCAGTCACACACTTGATCTACCAACAGAGGCAGTAACTACTTTGCCAATTAAACAGTCTTTAAATAAGACCATGGTGACAGTAAATAATTCATAAATGTCTCATCTTTATTAATAGAGGTGTTGAGTCTCATTCTAATGACTAGAGACCAAGGTTAAACAGGGTTAAAAAGAGGAGACAGATTTTGAGTGCTCATGTTAATGTGCCACCTACTGTGCTTGCTGGTAGCTTTCAGAGGGGGATAAGCTGTTTCTAAGAGGCTTTCTGCATTTTTCATATGATGCTGGTACATTATTTTTTTTTGGCAAAAACCCTGTCTTGTAAACAAGTGGAGATTTTTGTTCAGCTGTAGGATGTGGCTTATTAACAGAGTGCTACCTGTAAAACCTGACTTAAGGCCTCCAGTAATGCATCCCCTT